GGGGTGGCAACTGGAGGCAGACGAAATGTGTGATGGAGGCAACACTGTAGAGGACAATAAGACTGTGAGAGAGAGAGAGAGAGAGAGAGAGAGAGAGAGTATGTGAGAAAGAGAGAGAAAAGGAAAGAGAGATTATCCTGGACTTAATTCTTGCTGCTCAGAATAGGCAGATTCAGTGTGTTCAGGTTCTCAACTTATTAAATGTCTCCCAGCAACATATGCAGAAGTGTGTGTGTGTGTGTGTGTGTGTGTGTGTGTACAGAAGCTGGTAAAGCTATACTTGTGAGGAAAAACACTTGTGGGGACATTTTAGTCCCTGCCGAATAAGAGAATATTTTGAGGTTCAAGATTCAGTTAGGAGTTAGGATTAGGATTAGGAAAAGGGATTAAGATAGGGGTATATACTCCAGGTTAGGGTAAGATGCTAAGAAAAGCATCATGTGGAGGGCTCACAAAACACAAAACCAGTATGTGTGTGTGTGTTTGAGAGAGCGAGTGTGTTTGTGTGTGACAGGGTGGGAACAGCAGGAAAGAGTAAGTGTGGAAAGCTCTCCTCCTGATTAGCCATGGATTAGGAGGTCTTAGAGTGGATTAGGAATAATAGCATTAGACAGTGTTACTGCTCCACGGCCCCGAAGACGAGCGGTGGCTTCAACCACTCTGTTTTAATTCATTCAGCCTCATTTAGCCGCTGAACATGTTAGACGCAAAGCCGCCAAATTATTGGGGACAAGTCGTCTGTGTTTCCACGGCCGTGAGGGATTCCCGCTTCCTGTGGCATTTCCGCGTATCTGTAATTCCATCATTTGAATCTGGCACGGAAAAAAAAACAGGTGTGCAACACATTCATTTACCTTCTATTTAAAAAAAAATATTTAAGGGTTTGCCAATCATCTCGATTAATCAAGAGAAATTAAACTATTTGTGATTACTTAGATTATGATTTGTAGCAGTTTGCCCCAGGTATTAAACATCCAAATGTGCTAATTAAACTGTATTCGGAAAACTTTGAAGACTCTATAGCAGGCGTGGGGCAAACTGAGGCCCGGGGGGCCAGATGTGGCCCGTTCAGAGTGCCCGGCCTCCAACCTGTCTGTTTGTTTGACCTAGGAGTGGTTGGAACTTGAACTTGATTTTAACAGCATGGAGATATTTTTCTCCACAGACAGCAGTGCATAACAAAATACCAGGATTTTATCTGCTGTAACAGGATGGAGAACACAGCTCTGCTCTGATTATTAAGTGTTATGTCAGCCTGTGAAAAAGCTTCTGTGTAATAACTGCCAATTAACTCTTTGATATAAAAGAAGGAAGCAGGTGGCAAAAAGAAATCACAGATGTTTGGTGGGTGGTGATTTTTTTTAAATTTCTGTTTCTTTTTTATTCCATAAAAGAAATAAGACTTTTCAGTGTTGCAGATGCTTCCAGATTTTATTAAAAACTAAAAAAAAAAAAAAAAAAGTACTACACTCAGCAAATGTCTGATTTCTCAGCTGCTTTTGATTAATCCTGTCTGTCTGTGTCTCACAGCACCAGCAGCAGGTGGTGCAGGCGGTGGAGAGGGCCAAGCAGGTCACCATGACTGAACTGAATGTGGTCCTAGGAGTGGGTTTGCTGCACACACCTAAACACACACAAACATTTGTGAGCATTTCACTGAGACATAATGCATTCCCTAACCTAGGGGTCTGCAACCTGTGGCTCCGGGGCCACCTGCTGCTCTTCCTGCATGAAATGGACCAGATCTGGCCTGACTGATGCATCTCAACAATTCTATAAAAAAATATCAGATTTCATATCTGATTGTTTTTTTATTTATTACAAAAATCAAGGTTAAAACCTATTTTACAAGTCATGCTAAACTTAGCTAACTTGCTAATAGCAAACAACTTAATGTCACACTCCTCTTAACGCATCACCTCCACAATCTACAGTCTATTTACGATACGATCCATTTACAACTTCAGCCACACTTTCTCCCTATATGTTGCTTCTAGTAGTGCTTTACCATCTGTTTTCCTCCAAATTGGATTGGTTATTTACTACATTGTCCTTGTTGCTTATGTAGACCCAAATCAGTCGGTAGATTTGTTTACCTCCTCAGGGTTAAAATTCAAAAAAGTGAGAAAAGGACTGCATTCCCCATGGTCTACTTTTACTTTTCCAACCTGTTGGTTACGGCTGTTTCCTTTACAGCAGCGTTTCCCAAACTTTGTTTTCTGGGGACCCATATTTTCAAAGTCACAAACCTTCACAACCCAAGTCAATAGACATTATTGGTAAACTCCTGGGAAACGTGATGCGAGACGTCCCCCCCCAAAAAATCTCTTGATCTGAGGGTTGCGACCCAGTATTTAGGACATGGATGAAGTGTTTCCTTTAAATCATATGTGTCAAACACAAGGTCCGGGGGCCAAATGCGGCCCGCCGAGCCATTTTGTGTGGCCCGCGGGAGCCTAAAAAGTATTTAGTAAAGTCCATGCAGCAGAGTTTCTTACCTGAGTTATTAAACGTTTTTTTTTTTATTACACAGCAAATGAACAATATTTGTAATAATAATCAATTACAGAAACATGTATTAGGCTGTTATGGCGTAGTTAGATCTATACCAGTGGTGCCCGACCTTTTTTGTTGTTGCCTGGGACCTCCATCCATCCATGACCTCTGACCTATTACTTTAAAATATGGCCAGATTATCTTTGAATACATTTTCTTTGAATTAAGTAAATTAGTAAAACTCAAGTAAACACTGTGTCCCACTGCGGCCTGGTATCAAATGACCTATGGACTGGTACTGGTCCGCGGACCGGGGGTTGTGGACCCCTGATCTATACAGTGTTTCATTTACATCCGGCCCTTTAAGGGGAACTGTATTGCTGATGTGGCCCCCTGGTGAAAATGAGTTTGACACCCCTGCTTTAAATCCATAGGCACACAGTACACAGTCATGAAGTTATTTTTTTTTTTCTTTTTTGACTGCCTCCTCTTGCGTTTGTTTTCTTCCTCTCCCCCTTGTTGTTCACCCTTTGGCCCCTCACCCACGCTCTTTGTTTGTTCTCTGCCGACCTGGAATGTACCATCGCTGTGTGTCTGCTGTGTTGTTTCAGCAGCAACAGCTCCAGGCCCAGCACCTCACCCATGGCTACGTCATTCCCGTCCCGGTCACGCCTCACTCAGCTGGCCTGCAGCCCCCTCTTCCCCCAGGAGCCAGTACTGCCAGCCTGTTAACTGTGTCCTCCTTTAGTCAGCAGCTGCCACCCAAGGAGGCCAGTAAACACCAGGATAACAGCAGTGATCACCCGAAAGGTAAACTCCCGAAATCTGTTTGTGTAGAAAAAAGATTTTGTGTGTCATGGTTTCTGTGCCAGTGTTGTTGTTTATCTCATGTCTAGGAAACAGCATCGTCTTACGGTACCGTTGAGTCAAGTGTTTAAGGAAAGACATCATCATTTAAAACACTGCAAAAATTTTATAAGCTTTAATGGATTTTTTTGAAGTGAGTTCTGTTTTTTTTTTTTATTATACCAGACAGAAGAAAGAATATAAAAATGTTCACATTTCTTTGTAAATTAGAAACTCAGTATTTCAAACTACGGTCCAGGGGCCACCTCTAGCCCGCAAACCCTTCAAATCAGGCCCTGCAACCGAATTCCAATAATGAATATTTTGGCTCCTGAGGATATTTTACACCTTTATTTTCAATCATTTTATTTGTCCATTCATTAATTGTACTCATTTGCACTATTGTACTACTGTATGTAGTATTTTAAGGATTCAATTACCGTTTTTTTCCACCCTTAGAAACTTGATTAACGACATGTACATTATAAAATATAAATATAAACATTTTTAAAAACTATAGTATACTGTTCTATTATTCTAACAATTACAGTAAAATTTACAATGAGCCTTTAAATACTGCAACACCTCATATTCTGCCAAACGTGTCAACAGTTCATCCCTTACACCACTGTACAACTTGTATTACTTTGTGAGCACAATGAAATGCCTTTTACCCACAATTCACCTTGCTTCCATTTGTACTTGAAAATGTACAGTATTTTTAATATTCAGTTTAAGTAGCGGTAACTTAAGTGAATAATTGTATGTATTTAATATTTACTTTATACTCCAATGTTTTGACTATATCACAACTAATGTTTACATTTCTTTTCCGTTCTCTTTTGTCTCCTGATCTCTGGCCTCTCGTCCCCTCAGGCAAAGGCTCGGTCAAGGTAAGAGCTCATGACTAATAATAAGAAGAATATTTGGTCCATTTGCTAACGCTAGCTCTGTTGTCAAGTTCTGCATTGAGAGGAATTTGGTCTGGGGTCTTTTATCACATTTATCACATCTTATGTCTGACAAATAAACTTTAGGTACATTACTGGCCCCTACTGGGGGTTCAGAAAAGTGTGATTAAATAAGTAATTTTTACGTTTTGTTTTTTTTGTCTTAAATTTATCATTCAAAATAATGCTGTCAGTACCAGGACTCTTGTAGCTAGCGTTAGCTCTGGTGTTCGTTTGGCTTTGAGAGCAATAATCCAAACAGCCATGGGATTTAATTTTTTTAAATCGTACTTTTTTTGCTTGCAATTTCATGTGTTTTTTTTTTTTTAACACATTATTTTGTTACTATTCTGAAATGCTATTAGTACCATACAAACATTCGTGGACACGAGCGTGGGCTGACCAGGTTGTTATTCGTGTGGACCGCATCAGCAGAGTTCAAAACAACAATGCATTTACAACATCCGACAAGTGTTGCTCTTAAAAGGATTTTAAAAAATGGATGAAAACCCAACACCCAGACACAGTGAGAGAGTCTGGTTAGTTAGTTAGTAGAGAGAAGGAGGCAGTGAAAAACGAGTCAGCGAGACAGCTTGCAGTAATTAGTCCCTTAAGCAAAAGCTTTTTTTTTTTTTCCCATGGCAAAAATTTGGTTTGTTAAATACTCAATGAGCAGATTAGCACTTCTTTATTCAAACACACCGACACGCCCACAGAAATGAGCTGAGCAGAGCAGGCTGTGTGTTCTCTGGTGTTTTGGAAGCGGCTCAGACCAAAGGAATGTTTTAATATGTTATCTCCATGTCGTATATTCTCCTCCATACACTCACACTCAAAGCTGTGGGCACCGTGATGGGAGCGATTAGCAGCCTGCACGTGTGTGTGTGTGTGAGGGAGAGAGAGAGAATGATGAATGTCATTCATTAACACACGTTGAGAAACACACAGATACATGCATATACGCACATACACACACACACGTGTGCAGCTTTTGGACGTACAGTCCAAGAGTCACTTCATGAAACCAGTTTGCCCCGCAGTGGTCTACAGTTACCCTGGCAACAGTCCAGGCCATTGTGTGTGTTTGGTTTTGTGAACTGCATGATAATTTGTGCTTTAATTTCCTTGGATTTATACATACACACATACACAGACAGAGCTACAGTATGTGTGTGTGTGTGTGTGTCAATTATTGCATTGATTTGATTTGTGTCCGTATGTTTGTGGTTCTTGTGTAGCTTGTACTTGTTGGGACAATATTTTTGGGAAAAAAAAAAAAAAAACGCGAACAGTTTGTCCTTGTGATCACATCGTGCAGGTCCCAAATGATAGAAAGAGTATGTTGAGGGTTTAGAATAAGGTTTAGATTCCAGAGATTATCTTTCATACCATACCTACGTTACGTAGAAAACCCAATAACCCAATAATCGTTATGATTTACTGTATCGTTATATCATAAATCATATTATTATATATTTGTTATATGTGTACTGTAGAAGTAATATACTCTAGGGAGCAGTAGTACTGTATTTAGTACTGGACCATATGTCGTGTGCGGGCATCGCAGGAAGCAGGCAGGACCCAAATGCAGTACTGGAGGAGAGACTCTTTCTGGTGCAGGAAGTTTTATTTACAAAGTCCAAATGAACAAAACACGGACAACAGGCAGGCATGGAATGCTCTTCGGAACACAAGGAAACAGAGTAGGAAACTCACGAACACGAAGATCTACCACAGTCTCACACACTATCACTATCACAATCACTATCACTATCACAATCACAATGATCCAACAACGACAGAGTGAGTGAGAGGGGTATATATACACAGGGAACACCAGGTGACACAAGTGAAGCTAATTAACAACAGGTGAGTGTGATCCCATGATTACCCCACAAAGAACACAGGAAAACACAGAAACAGACAGACATGACACCCAAAGGCGCACTGGGTTATGAGGCGCATTAAGCAGAACAATCAAGGATGTCCGGATGCCTCTCCTCATTAATGAGTCAGTCTTGTTGCTGTTAATTAGTTGTTCAGTGATGATTCGACATTTCAGACTGATACCTTAGTCCAGGCATCCACGATCCATTGGCAGATAGTGGCGTAGTTCATAGTTTGGGCGTTGCCTCCCTGTCTTGGTGAATCTGGTGAATGTGTGTTCGCCTTCTGTCATCCAATCGGTCTCCAACGCAGCTCGTAATTTAACTTTGAACCCCCTGTTAACACCAATATTTAGTGGTTGTTATTCTTTGATCAATCAACCAGGAATGATGATAAGCCCCGAATCAGTTTGCTTCACTTGGGTTTTGACAATATCGGTGAGATGGGCGCCCATGGAGTCGCAGATCAATAGGGACGGAGATTTGTGGAAAAGGGTAGTGACCTAAGTTGGACACTGGGGGACGCTGTTGTTGTTGTTCACCCCTGCAGTGTCAGGCGGTTGTCACTATTTTTGTCCTGAGTGGTCACCATGTTGTTGTTTTGACGTTGTTCCCGTGCGGAAGTTGTTTTGCAGAGAGAGGCGCACTGGGTTATAAGGTGCACTGTCAATTTTTGAGAAAATAAAAGGATTTCAAGTGCGCCTTATAGTCTGGAAAATATTAGTCTTTCCTTATTATTATTCCTAATGATCTAATAATCTAATAATCTGCTGAGTCCTTCAGGGTCTTTTTTATTGTGGGCTGTACAACCCCCTCATCAGTGGAGGTGACAAGGACAGAACCAGAACTTGTTGAATCAATTAGAATCAGGAGGCAGATATAATTATGATGTGCTTGTAAATGAATACCTCCGTCCATTAGGGGCCGCGCAGTTCTCCACACTCGAGTGTCAGCGCCGCCAGCGCAGCCTGGATTTGTCTCCGTTGTAAAATTAATTAGCCTTGATGTTTTTGAAAGAGCTCATTTGCCGGCTAATTAATCTATCCGTCTGGAACGAGAGAGACTGACGGAGAGAGAGGGAGAGAGAGAGAGAGGTGGAAGAATGGAGGAACTCAGTTTGTCTCTAATAAAAAAATGGACCCTACACCAGCCACGTGTCTCTCTGGCATCTACACATCTAAAGCCGAGCGTTCGTATTTCTAAAATGCAAACATATGCTAGATGGCCACACACACACACACACACACACACACTGAACGTCACTGTTGTCATCAACACTTGCAGCACGCCAAAGGGCACTGCAAAGGTTACAAGCGTGAGATGGAGGAAAGGTTGATGTAAAGGTCCCTCTTTTTTTTTCCTTTGCTCTGTCCATCGTGCACCGGGTGAGGAACATTTACTAGTGTGAGATCAGCAGGGAGGGCAGAGTCGGAGCAGAGATCTTGTCTCGACCTTAGTGTGATCTTTGCGTTTTCAAAGACGATTAGAATCCTCGGGTAACGGTATTCAAAAAAGACGCCAGATTTGATTAAGAAAAGAGACATCAGTGAGACATCGGCTCCTCCTCCTTCTTCACATTAATGTGAAACGAAGAGTTCTGACCGCGATGGCGGAGTCAAAGCGTCAAGGATGCAGCGCCAGTACGTCAGTACGGCGTGATACAGTGGGAATGAAATGGTCCTGACAGGCGTAGGAGTTTTTAAAGTGGTGTGGAATTGATGTGGAAATCCAAGTGTGAACAGGATCATGCAGCCCATATGGGTCTGTGGTGGTCAACTTTAGTTTGCCTCATTTAGATTTACTGGATTTACTATTCCTTCCGCAATGGGGGACATTTATAGTGTTGACAGCAGCAATAAAATTACTGCATTACATCCGATACATTTCACCCTTGTATGAAACGCTGTTGATCAACTGTAGAATCACAGGAGCAGAAATCAGGGGCTTCGGTGCTCAATACAACAGCCAAGCCAGAAGTGGGATTTGAACCGGCAAATTGCAATTCCGACTACGAGCCAGTTGTTCCAGCAGCAGTATTGAAATATGCAGGAAAGAGTAAAGATTTATGGCGCTTTGGCCCAGAGGCGATGTCTCTGTCTTTGGTGTGGAACCCCAGGGTTCACCTCCTGGGCAAGATCGAATCCCGGTTAGGGCGGTTGGTACCTTCCAGTGGACTCACCACCTGCAGGAAGGTTCAGGGGGAGTTGGTAAGGTGCAATGTATTTGGGTGGCGGTCATGGAGACTACTGCCCCCGTGACCCGGTAACAGATAAATGGATGAAAATGGATGGATGGAGTAAAGATTTAGAACAGTGTTCAGAACCAAATTCTTTCTGGACAGACTCATTGGTGGGACTGGACGCTCCAATAAAATGAAATAAAAATCAAATTTTTATCTAACATAATTAACTGATGTTTACTGTTTATATCATTTTGTTTAGTGGCGCTTTGGCCCAGAGGCAATGTCTCTGTCATTGGTGTGGAACCCCAGGGTTCACCTCCTAGGCAAGTTCGAATCCCGGTTAGGGCAGTTGGTACCTTCCAGTGGACTCACCACCCACAGGAAGGTTTAGGAGGGTTTGGTATGGTGCAATGTGATTTGGGTGGCGACTGCTGCCCCCGCGACCCGGTAACGGATAAGCGGATGAAAATGGATGGATGGATGGATGGATCATTTTGTTTATTTACAAAATTAATGTCATTTTATCCTTTAATCCATTGTTTCCCAAAGACTGGGTCGCAAGAGATTTCTTTTTGGGTCAAGTCGCATCATGTTTCCCAGGAGTTTACGAATAAGGTCTATTGACTTGGGTCGCGAAGATTTGTGACTTCGTCCTTCTGACAATGTTACACTTTCCTTGTTTCCTCCAGAGCTCATCTCTGTCACCATCTACTAGTATCCGATCCGGGGGGAAACAGCGCAGTTTGAGCAAATTCCCGTCCGACTGCAAGAAACCAAAGAAAGATAACAAGGATGTTCCTGCAACACGTTACGTAAGTGGAGATTTTTGACTTCACTTCATTATCACAATCACAGTTGTTGTGTAAAAAAATATACTGACGAATAAAATGATGCGAAGAAGTAGGGAAAAATGATGATACACCAGATATTTGATCAAATAAAAAGTGTACAAAAGTAAAAGTCACAGTGAATCTGAAGACCACATATTCCTTAAGTAGGGTTCAAAAAATTACATTTTACACTCTGAAGACACTCTCTAAACACTTATTTTAACAAGTACCGGTCAAAATAAAACATCTTTCTGAAAGTTGCCAGTTAAGTGATGATACTCCATTATTTCAACGGCAGGAAAGTGATCAAGAGAAGAGCGATGATAACCTGGTGATTGATGTCTCCAATGAGGTACGCAGCACTTCGTTTGTTTTTGTCAAAGAAAATCTTTGTAAAAACCATGATGTGCTGTTTGTCCGTGTTTTGACAAAAGGATCCTGCATCCCCTGCCTCCTCCTTGCGGGATAGCGGACTGGACAAAAATCACCCCTTGAAGAAGGACGCTCCTCTGACTCCATCCTCAGTTGCCTCCTCCAGCAGCACACCATCATCCAAGTCCAAAGAGATCAATCTGGTAGGCCATTTGATAGAATACTATTTTAATCAGTTTCACTAGTTCCAAAGATCATTGGCAGGATTATTTTTTAATTAACATTCTTTAAGAAAAATGTAAAATATTTTTCATCATGGTGTTTTTTTTTCTTTCTGTTAAATCCTAAGATCGAACAGTCCACCACACCTGTGTCCAAGGCCAGCTCTCCCACCTCCCGCTCTGATGCTCCTAAGCCCAGCAGTACCGTCACCCCGGCCCTAAGGTCTGCACCTGGTAAACCCAAGGGTGCAGAGGCACCGGGTAAGTGTTTCGGTAAATATTTTAAAATTATGAATATTTTGTTCTGTTAACAAATGCTGTGATTTATTACATAGCCATCTGTATAAATCTGAAATGAAAAAACAAAACAAAAACATTTTCTTTGTCATACATACAAACCCTTGAAGAGGAGTATTTGACATGAAGACAAAAAAAAAAAAGAAAAAAAGAATTGTGTTTCAGTTGTCAATTGGGCCAGACCAGTACAATGATATCATATCACTTATAAATAACAAAAGTCCATGTTTATTCCACTGTGTTTCCTTGAAGAAAATATTAAAATTTTTCATATTCAGATTTAATTAAAATCTGATTTTACAAAACATCATGAACGTGGAATGTTTGTGCTTTTTTGTACTTCTGTACAAAATTCATAAAGCGGTTTTGGCCCGCGGCCTTTATGTTTGACACCCCTAAACAGTTTAATCTGATAAAGATGGATAGATAGATAGATAGATAGATAGATAGATAGATACATACATAGATAGATAGATGGATAGATAGATAGATAGATAGATAGATAGATAGATACATACATAGATAGATAGATGGATAGATAGATAGATAGATAGATAGATAGACAGACAGATAGATAGACAGACAGACAGACAGACAGACAGACAGACAGATAGATAGATAGATGGACAGACGGACGGATAGATGGATAGATGGATGGATGGATGGATGGATGGATGGATGGATGGATGGATGGATGGATGGATGGATGGATGGATGGATGGATGGATGGATGGATGGATGGATGGATGGATGGATGGATGGATGGATGGATGGATGGATGGATGGATGGATGGATGGATGGATGGATGGATGGATGGATGGATGGATGGATATGATACAGTTATCGTCTCTTGCAGTTCCTGCTCTCCATACCCCAGTGGCTGTGTCCTGCTCATACACTGTACCTTTTGGTATGGTTCCTCACCCGAGTTTGAGCGGAGAGCTGAGCCTTGCTGGCGCAGCCTACTCTGGCCTGCATAACCTTTCTCCACAGATGTGCATGGTGGCAGCGTACGGACGCACGCAAATGGTACACGAACATACTCTATTGAATGCTCCCAGTCACATGACAGCACCTTGGATTACTATTACAGCAGTTATAATCTGCCTGTACACTATGTGGTGCTGTGGCTTAGCTGGTTAAAGTGCCTGTCTAGTAAACAGGAAATACGGGGTTCAAATCCCAGTAGTTCCTTTTTCCTTGCGGGATTGATAAAGTTCTTTCTGTCTATCTATTGCATACTGTACATACAGTGTGTATGTATTTTAAATTACAATTATTTCAATGTAATTTTACCTGTAAAGCACATTTAAAACCAACAGGTTTGAAATCCAATTCAGGGCAATTGTAAAAATCAACTTTTCTTAATCAATCTGGCTAATGAGAGAGAAAGAGAAAGGGTCCAAGAATTGAGCCCTGAGGCACACCACAATTGAATGCTTTCATAACAAAGTTGTTGTGGTATGATAGCATTCAACTATAGAATTTATTGCACAACATATAAGTTGTTTGTAATGTTTTTGATTGAATATCACTTTTTCAACTTTCTAGTTTAGTTCTGGTTTGTTATGTTTGTTCAACTGCACAAACCTGTTATTGTTCTTCAGATGGGATTTGATCCTCACCCCCACATACGCGTTCCCGGCCACCCTGTGAACCTGCCGGGAATATCTGCTGGAAAACCGTATGTTTCTTCTTCTTGTTTCTTTGGTCTGTGTTGCAGCTCTTCTTCTTTATTTCTCCCCCTCTTCCTGTTTCTCCTGTCAGGGCCTACTCCTTTCACGTGAGTGCCGACGGACAGATGCAGCCCGTGCCTTTTCCTCCAGACAGTCTGGTCGGTCCCGGCATCCCACGCCACCTGCGACAGATCAGTACCCTAAGCCACGGTGACGTAGTGTGCGCGGTCACCATTAGTAACCCCACACATCACGTCTACACTGGAGGCAAAGGTTGCGTCAAGGTGTGGGATATCAGTCATCCTGGCAACGACACACCTGTCTCTCAGCTGGACTGTCTGGTGATTCAACTACAGTAACCTTTGACAGCTCATCGTACGGGGTTAAAATGCATTAATTTAATGACAAACAAAACAATTTTTTTTGTGTGTTCACCACCTCAGAACAGTGACAACTACATCCGCTCCTGTCGACTGCTCCCTGACGGGCGCACTCTCATCGTGGGAGGGGAGGCGAGCACCTTGTCAATCTGGGATTTGTCCTCGCCAACTGCACGGGTTAAGGCAGAGCTGACATCATCAGCACCCGCGTGTTATGCATTGGCCATCAGTCCTGACTCAAAGGTCTGCTTCTCCTGCTGCTCCGACGGAAACATCTCCGTCTGGGATCTGCACAACCAGACTCTGGTCAGGTACGGAGCCGTCTGTAGATGGCAAAGCGTTTTATTTAGATGCATCGCGGTGTTGTAAATGTCCGTCAAATCGCTAACAAAAACAGAGGAAAAACAGTGAAAGGTCACAAAATAGCAGGGGCTCAGGAAACCACGTAAATTCTCTTTCAGTATTCAGCCTTGAAATGATTGGGCCTTTGGATGATGGAAAATAAATGGGTTAAAATATATTATATACTATACTATATCTTCTGGGTCACAGTTTTAATATATTACCTAAAACAAAAGCTGAAACATATACAAAATCAATTCATCATAATAGGAAACATAAAATGTTCTCTGGTTTTCCAGAGAAAGCTAAATGCTAGCAAGATAGCGTATTTATCCAATATAGAAAAAGCTACAACAACAATTAGTTACTTTTAATTAATTACTAAAATTAGGTTGATAAAGAGCTCAGCTAGGGAAGTCAAAATATAGATTTAAATTTTAGAAAACTGTTCATTTTCAATTTACATTAATTTAGCACATAAAGCTAACTTAGCTTGAATTAGCGTATACAGCAAAAAAAGGGGTTTTGTAGTGTCAGTTCTGGGCTCTGGCTCATGGTCTCTCTCTTGACAAATTCTACAATTTCTTCTAAAGTTTTCAAAGCTTTCGCTTTAAAACAAACAAAAAAAAACATTTCCATGAGTCAGTCGCCATCTTGTTGCTCCGAATAACTGTGTGTTTTTCTGCAGGCAGTTCCAGGGCCACACCGACGGGGCCAGTTGTATTGACATTTCCAATGATGGCACCAAGCTGTGGACCGGAGGCCTGGACAGCACCGTCCGATCTTGGGACCTCAGAGAGGGACGACAGCTGCAGCAACATGACTTTACCTCCCAGGTACTATTGGTATTTTGTTTTCCCTACCAGTAATATTCGCAGTTCAGGTCTGGTTGAAAAAAAGGGCAGAAAATGCCAAAAAAAAACTTTATAGACCAGTGTCTGCATAAATAATATAGACGTTTGTGTATTCTTTTTTTGGGTTGATGATTAAGCTAAAATATTATTTTTAAAACACATCACTGTAAACCAGTACTTTTCAAATAGTGGGGCGGAATAGAGGGGCTCCCAATGGAATATGGAACGCTGGACATGAGTGTAACCACTGCTGTAATGCATGAATGTACATGTTATCAGGTTCTCAATAGTATTTCAATTTGTGGGGGGTGTGGGTAGGGGGGGGAAGGAGGGGGCGTGAAAACATTTCTGTCCACAAGGGGGCCATGACAGAAATTAAATTGAGAACCACTGCTGTAGACCAACATTTAACCAGCCCTAATTCTACACTGGTCTCAGCTTCAGCCCAACAGCCTTCCTAAAACACCAACATCCAACGTTTACTTTGTAATTAAGTTCCTTTGATGTGAGGAGCGGGAATTAATAGCAATAAAAGACCACGACTGTAATTGTCCTCAGAAGACCTGTCTTATAACGTAAAGGGAGCAGAGGAGGGAAATGAGGAAGTGCGTGGGCATTAAAGAGGGCAACGTGGACAATGACCATGACATAGTTTTACCGTAAACTAAAAAAAACTGACCGTTTCCACCCCCCATATCCTCCACTTTATTTTGCGTTTTACATCAGGGGTCCCTGGTCTGGGGACCGGTGCTGGTCCATATGTCATTTAGTACCAGGCTGGGTGGGACAGTCATACTCATTTACTGTTTTCATTCAAATATAATCTGTCAATGATTCAAAACAACAGGTCATTCAGACTCTGATATTAACAGAAGAAAGTCTAAAAGATGTTTTATTTTGAAAATTCGATGATCCTTCAACAATAGTACGGTATTACAATCTGCAATAACGACTGATACTGACCGGTCCTTGGTACAAAAAAGGTTGGAGACTGCTGACTGTACATGGTCAAATGTAGACACGGTTGTCTGAATAAGGCTGATAGCCCCACATTGTTCTCCTAAATATACTCAAAATGTCACGACAAGCACCATGCAACATTACCTAGTTTGGATGTGGATGTGTCTACATTTATTCCACCTGGACGACCAGTCAGTGAGACCTTTTTGAGTGAGAGTTTTGAGACCAAATCAAGGATTTTTGTTTTGTTAAAAATGACTCAAGTTGAGCTCGGAACTCTAAAATTATCTTAGTTACAAGCGTTTGCTGACGTTGCGTCCCGTCTTTGTTTGGTCGACAATCCTGATGTGCAAAGAAACTAAAAGTAGGCTCTCCACCGTTATGGTGTCCACCCCCGTCTTCTCGCCGCCAGCCGTGCTACGGTGTGACAGCGTACAGTAGGTGAACGGTGAGTGCTAACTGCTGCGACTGTTTGTGTTTGGCTTCAGATCTTCTCTCTGGGACACTGTCCAACAGGTGAATGGTTGGCAGTGGGAATGGAGAACAGCAAGGTGGAGGTCCTGCACGTCACCAAACCTGACAAGTACCAGCTGCAGCTGCACGAAAGCTGCGTGCTCTCACTCCGTTTTGCCCACTGTGGTAAGAAAATGAGTAAATCTGTGACAAACTGGAGCGTCGAGCCAAGTACTGAGGGAAATGTATATCCGTCAAACCGTAACGATAATCGAAAGGAAAAGGGTTGATGACTCACGTTAAGGCTCAGAGAAATTAGCAGGTGTTTGAAGCATTGTTATGCAAGAGAGACGGGAAAGTGACAGGTTTGTGTGGGTGAGACAAGAAAATGATGAGAAATGAATGGAGAGAGCACAGTCAAAAGTCTTATTTTTACAAGACCTACAGTCAAGGACATAAATCCTACTTTCTGAGACAAGTTGTTCCTTAGAAAATATTTCCCATGTTTGATGTAGTAAAATGTTCCTTCGTACTGAACCAGGTTTGGAGATCGCTGTTTTACATGGTCAAATGTAGACTGCACACGTTCTCTTAAATATGCTCAAAATATCATGACAAATACCATGCCACATTACCTAGTTATGACTGTGTTCTTTTTCTTCTCCTCTTCCCTCTTCTTCCTCTCCTCTTTGTTATCTCATTCTCTGTACAGGGAAGTGGTTCGTGAGCACAGGAAAAGACAATCTGCTCAACGCGTGGAGGACACCGTATGGAGCCAATATTTTCCAGGTAGGTTTTTTTTTTTGGCTTTGCTTTGATGAAAAGATCCTGAAGTTCAAGGAAGGGTTTTTTTTCATCCATAAAACAAGAGAAGCTCATTTCAGGACTAGCTATTGAAATGTATGTATGTTAGTGATGTGCCATTCGCAAGTCATTCGTTCAATATGAAGGAATCTTTCATATGACTTGGGAACTCAAGAGTCGTATGAAAGATCAGTTATCACGAATCACTCACGAATCACTCACGAATCACTCACGAATCATATTTTTGAAAATTATATCAACGCACACAATAGGGCTATAGCGCCACCTGCTCTAGATGAAGGAAATGATTTGTTCACGATTTGTTCATTTTACTGTTTGAGAGTCAAAGATCCGAATTAGTCAAAAGAGTCGGTCTTCCCATCACTAATGTTGGTATATGTTGGTACAATAGCATATATTGTACCAACGACGCCTGTAGAAGTCAGTGGCAAATCTCAGATGTGACGCATGACATTCTCAGTCGACAAGTTTTGACCTCATGAACAGTTCCAGGTGCTCGTATCTCAAATTTTTCTTCGTATCTTGAAGCAAAGATTTGCCCGAAGGCTTACTCGTATCTCGAAATACTCATATGTCGAGACGATTGTATCTCGAGGTTCCACTGTTTTTATTTTATTTTGGATCAGACAAACAACAACATTGCTTTGTGATTTTGGAGGGATATTAGTCAGATGATAGAAAAAATAAAACTAATCCATTGTCGTTCTTTCTTCTTCTGCCTACAGTCTAAGGAGTCGTCGTCAGTGCTGAGCTGCGACATCTCCACAGACGACAAGTACGTTGTCACAGGGTCGGGGGATAAGAAGGCGACGGTCTATGAAATCATTTACTGAGTTATCGTGAAGAATTAGCACAGTGGTTGAGGGGTGTACGCTTGTGTACAATGGAGTTTGACATTTGGACCATGACCTTTTGACCTACTGGCTAAAAAAACAAAGAACAAACAGATCCAGAGACTTGAATTGATCGGCAGGTAAGCACATGACTTGACTTGACGGGACTTTTTGATCCTCAGATGTTATTTGTGTTTTTCCCCTTCTTTTTCAACATTATTCAAAAGAATGTAGACCAGGCACAGGCAAACTAGGGCTCGCGGGCCAGATCCGTCCCATTTTGCCTTTCAATCCGCCCTGCTAAACCCACCATTTATGTTATTAATTTATAAATGCAATGCCTGTATTTCCCCAATAGATGGCATCATGTAGAATTTTAGTCTTCTACTCCTCAAGATCGTTTGCCTACGCCTGATGTAGAACCTTTATAATCAGAATTATTTATTATTATATTTTTGATTTTATTATATAAGTCTACAGGCACCACTTGTCTCCCCCTGCTGACGGTCTTATACAAAATTTAAGATGAATTATCAACTGGCGATCGTCATAAATTGTTCATTAATAGTTTATTTATTTGAATGTGTTTGTGTGTGTGTATGTGTGTGTGTGTTTTTTTTCCTGGTACGGCCAAATTTGTGGGGACATTTTTTGGGGGTCCTCAATGAGTAAAAGGGTATTTTGAAATTCAAGATTAAATTTGGAACTTGCCTTTATTTGTCAAAGTTAAGGGTGGGGCGAGGAGCCACAATTCTAACAAAAACCAGTATGTGTGTGCGTGAAACATCAAATTAGATTAAAGCTAATCACTGGATTATTTTATCACAGATTTAAGATATTGAAGTTTCACCAAAGTATTTTACAGACTACTGCAGTAACTAGGAAAAAATATAAAGTATTACTGGTTGTCATACCGAGATTACCTTATTGGGTTTTTACCACTTGTTAGAGATTTTAGTGGACGATGTTCAAGAGAACTGACCATTCACAGACAGAAGTACAGACAGGAGTTTAGTGACGTGGACCGGCGTTCACTTAGTCGTCAGCTTTTAGAAACATCACAGTGCCTTTATACTGCTGCACATTCATCTGCATTTTGTCCTTTTAAAAATGTTCAACCAATGAAAAAAAAGCAACAACAAAAAAAGCTGTGACATACGACTCTTGTTGCTAGGTAACAGTATTATTTATTTGTTGGGTTTACACCACTTCTCTGCTGTTCTTTTTCTGTCGTTGTTTCAACTGTGATGCTAACCTAAGCCAGATATACAGCTCCAGTCCATGTTTTTATGTAAACCTGCTGTCAAATGTGAGTTTCTCCCACCAATGTCATACATGTTCAAATATGACGACCACGAAAATGTAAAAATCAAAATTGTAGAATGACTTATATTTGGTTTCTATGTGAAATACATTTTATTACTACAGTAATTTACCGCATTTTGGAGATATTCCCCAAAACTATTTTCTATTGTATTATCACTTACAGTAGGGATGTCCGTTAATATCGGCCGGCCGATATTATCAGCCCGATGTTCGCATAAGTATGTAATATCTGTTGGAATCGTTATCGGTTTTTCCCTCCGATAATGAAAACCCAATTACGCAATGGCAGCAGATGTGTGACCTAAAAAAGGGGGAAATGCCCGTATATGAAAGTGTAGGACACAAGATGGCAGCATTGCAGCTCATTTAATTCATCAGTCATAACAATCAGGTGATTGTATGCAGAATGCTGGTGCAACTCATACAGTTTTTTCTATAGATAAATAAATAAATATTACCAGGCCTATATTGGTAGATATTGAAATCCGGAATTAAGTGTTTGGACAATATTGGTTCAAAAAGTTCATATCGGGCATCCGTAATTTACAGTCATTGTCCCAAAATAAATGTTTCTTAAATTTTCTTACATTTTTCTAACTGTATCTAAAAACAATTGAGTATTCATACTTAAAATGTTGAATTTATAAATTATAAAAATAAACACTTATCTGACCCAGCGTTCATGAAGTATCTTACTAATTATCTTGTAAAAAATGTAAAAAGACATTTTATACTGTCACAGTTTAAAGAAATTAAATTTAAAAAAAACAAATAAAATAAATAAAAAAAAACTCACGTATTTGCTACAGCAAGAGATATTTTGCTATTCTCTCCCCAGCACTTTCAAGTAAAAATATTTATTGTTACATTTTGACCTTTTACTTTCCCTGACCGCTGACAGTTCTGTCTTTGCCGCTACGCTTTCAAAATAAAAGCACGATTCATTCACTGCCGTCGAGGTTTTCTCAGCTGTGGCTTTCTATCCTCGGCTGAAGCCATCTTTGTGTAATGTATGTAATACTCTGAAGTACCTATCTCTGTTAATCATCAGAAAATTTAGTCGTACTTTGGTTGTTGCTTACTTCATCAAACAGCTTGTTGAAAAGGTGATTTGTGGTTCCTTTAATAAATTATAGTGCTGAGTCATGATTTTGTCTGAGCGTTGATCACTTCTTAAAATTACTGACGTCACTGACTGTTGCACCATGGGGTTTCTTACAAGTCCCTACATCTATTATGTATG